GCAAGGGCCGACGATGGATTCCGATCACGAGCTCGACTAATACACGGCGTTCATCAAGAGTGTTGTGTGCGTAGCTTGACGAAGATTGCACAACGACGGTACTCGTCTTGGGTGGATTCATGGCATGTGTAGTAGCTTGACCCCACCCCAAGCGACCACTCAAGAACCAATTTCAAGCAAGAAGCCGCGATGTCGCGGACGTTGGCGCGGGCAAAGGTGTGGTCTCCGACAAGCTCGCGGCTGCTGCGAGCCCACTCGACGCTCGTCGCCGTCAAAGCGTCCATCGCGATGCAGTCCGCGTTTCTCTGGTCCCCGTCCGCAAGAGCACCAAGGGTGTATACAGTCAACGCGTGTGCATTGGCTTAGGTGACGCTGTGCATTTTGCTAAAGCGGGCGCGCGCTTCGACATACTCGGAGTACGTGTCGCGCTTCCGGAAGTGGCTCATGTCCTTCTCGCGGTTGAGCATTTTCATCTCGGCGTCGTAGCCGAACGCCTCCTTGGTCGTCGTGCTGAGCTTGTACTCGGACGGGATCGGGAGGCCGTGGAGGATCCCGTTCATGTGCAGCCGCTTCGCCTTTGGAATGGGCTTGGGCGCCACGACCTTGTCCTTTCGCCGACCGTCGCTCATGTCCACCTCGTCGTTGTTGCTCGGCTTGGCCTACACGCATATAGAGATGGCATCGTCTCCAGCGCATCATCGTCCTACGCGCGACGCTTTCTCGAGTGGTGTCCCATTCACTTCTTTGAGCAGGCTACACCAGTATCATCTCGCGTGAACCATCTGCATCAATATGCTCGACGAAGGTAGTACGCTGCAATGTCGGCGTCTTTGGCGATCGGGTCGGCGCGAAGCAGCGCGCGCTCGTCGACGCGCGTCTTCCTGCCCTTGGACGCCGGCTTGGGCGGGTCGGCGAGGATCTCCTTCTCCTTGGTCGTCATCTCTTCGAACGCCATCGTCGTGCTCTTCCTAGCCAAAGCCATCATCGACCGTCGTCCGCGCGTTCGCCGTACCAGTCGTTGACATGGCCCTGGAAGATCGGGTTGCAGAGGCCGATGGTCTGCTTGAGCGACGCGAGCTCGCGGTCGAGCGCGTCGCCTTCGAGTCCCGTCGCTTGCTGCTGCTGCTGCTTGCGCATGCTGCGTTGGCTCTATCTTTAGGTCGCCAACACCGAGCACGAAAGAAAGCAAGACCAAAAAAGCAATATAAAGCAATCGCATGTTGGCAATTACGATCCTGTGGCAA